TATCTTTCTAAAACAGCAACTCTAAATTACTTCTCAGATTGCAAGTTAAATGTGAGGTTGTGTACCTTGTATGTATTTGTAACATGCATAATACCGGTAATATTTGAGGAACACCGATATGTATATTTTACTTTGTGTATGCACGGGAGAGAGTCATCATTTGCTCTGGCCTCTTAGTGCAGGTTCCTATTGTGAAATAAAAACAACTGGATTATTATACAGGTAACCTGATATTAAATGGATTAAAGTATTTTTAAAATATTAAAATAGGTTTCAGAAGCTCATGAGACTGCTGTTGTTATATGAATTAGAAAGCAGGAAGGAATTGACTCTTTTTTTTCCCCTTGGACACTGTTGTTTGAAACACTCCTTTAAAAAAACAACAGAGTGTTAAAGCTTAGTACTTCATGTCCGTGTGTGCTACTTGGACAAACAAAATGTAAGCCACTTCATGTCCTTCTTCAATCCTCCTTTGGGTAGAAAATGAGTCTGAATATTTTAACTAGAAAACTGAACTAACCTTAAAAGACTGTTACATATTGGGCAAAATCATTTTGCCTTAATTTATGCTGTGCAAACCAGACTTCGTGGTAGCATTATTTCATTTAAATTAGTGAAAGCTTCCTATCCTCCCACCTCTTCAGGTTCTGAGGTTCCCTACGGTTTCTTTTTAATCTGGGGAAGGCTTTGGAAGCTTCAAGATGGGAGAGGGTAGCTTTAAATTTAAAAGAAATCACTGCTGGATCACCAGTGGTATAGCAATCTTTGACTATCAAAGTTTCCCTGGGGCTCCCAAAGACTTCCCCTGGGTAAAAAAAAAGCTGTGGAAACTGAATGGAGGATAGGAAGTTTTTAATTAATGTAAATTAAATATTATTAGCACTAGGTGTGGTTTGTGCAGCATAATTTTACACCAGCAGAATTTTGCCCAATATGTTTATGACTGTTTTCCTGTTTGAAGGGTTGTCCATGAGGATGCATACCTATTTAAGAAGCTACTCTGTTGCATTTTATCTATTTATGAAGCCAATTTCCTAGTATGTCAACATAACCTGCCTTGCCCTGGAAAAGATTCAACTAGATCATAGTTGATAGAATTCAGGCATGGGTAGGTAATTTGCGTCTGCATCTCTAATTTCTTCCAGTGATTCTCTATCTTTGTGGTTTAGAATAGCAGATTACCTTACAGCAAAAAAGGTAACAAAACATGTATAACGAGTCCCAACGTGCTACAGTACTTGAATGTGAAGACTGATATGGCAAATGTACAAGTTATGCTAATGTAGATCGCATCCCACTGGTCTGTGTTAATTAAACTGGCTCAATAATCCTGCATAAACCTCATTAAAACCTAAGTATATTAAATTTAATACATTTAATAAGTAGTAAAATTGCTTATTAAATGTAAGTTTACAAGTCCTACTGAAATGAATGGAAGTGAGAAGAAGAGCATACAGTATGTTGTAGATTGCACCCATAATTATTTAAGGCTACAGTTAAAAAACGATTCATTCTTGAAATAAAAAACTGACAAAATATTGTAGGTGCACTATTTACTTCTGTGATCTTCTCTTTGTTCACTGTGTATAATTATATCTGCAAACTGGAGGACTGCAGAACAAAATTTATCTATTGAGGAAAAATCAGGAAAAGGCTGCATGATTGTGGAAACAGTAGAAATGCTGCAGCAGGCAATACCTTTAATCAACAATTAAGAATATAAAACAAAAAACAAATAGCATGTTTTCAATGATAAATCTTCTTCTTCAAGACTGTGAATCAAGTGCTTGTGGGCAGGTCCAAACTCATATGCTGTTTTTAATGTCCCACATTCACATGGCTGGTGGTATAGAGGCCAGGTAAGCTTCTTAGATGGAAATAGGTGCAACATACATGTTGGTTTTCAGCTCTTCACCTAGCTATTTGGAACTTATGGCCCATCTCTTAAAACAGAGGACAGTCACAGGTGATCTGCCCCCACCTCTCCTTTTCTGCCTTTTTAGCTGGGGGAGGGAAGACTGCTTTGGTGGCATGGCCCACTTCTAACAGAGTTGATTGGGATCAGGAATTTAAATCACTAGGAGCAGTCAGTTTAAGCCAAATTAAAGCAAAATAAATAGTTTTACCTGATGAGTGCTCTTTTTAGCATGTAGTACTGCTTGTTTGATGTCAAGAGTCCACAATGTCCTAGAACTTATGTTGATCTTCAGTTGATCAGCTGTTCTATGTATCTTACTCAATTTATCTGTTGAGTTCTCTTTTGACTCCTAAAGAGAATAATTGACTTCCTACTATGATAAATGATCAACTGTAGCAAAAAATCACTTGAGGGCTTCTAAGACTTTATTCTCATGCATCAGATTGATAGCCTTATTGGACTTTTTATCATATAATTTAAAGTCAGTGGTTATTTGAAGGAAGTTAAAGCCCAATAGGTTTAGAACAGTAGGCAGACTGTGTAGTGTTTTGACTCTTTCAAGGTTTGGCTTGGCCCCTGTGTTGATTGTTTGTCTGCTTACAGTATGAATAATTCCATTTTTACTGCCTGATTGTCAGTCATTTTAAACTTTATTATTACAATACATGCATTTGATCCATTATATAATATTGAATAAATTTGATGGTGTTAACAGCTGTGTAACTGTTGACACAATAGCTTTGTGTTTAGCATATCGATCGTCTAGGTTGCTTTACATGACATATCTTGCCTTAAGAGTTTACCAACGTGATGACTATTAACTTTCACTTTGAATTTTATACAGTTTGTGAAGAAAAAAGGCACAGTAAGAAAAATGTTCACTTAACACGGGAAGATATTCTGAAAGGGAAAGTAAAGTTTAAGGAAAATATAAAGCAAGAATTTTCTTTGAGTGAAACAGAGGCAAATAATCTAGAATTAGCTTAAATAAGCACTAAACAACAACGTGACTATTTTAAAAGTTATGTTCCCATAGTAAATATATCTTGAAACTTCTCGTTAGGTCCTGGAAATGGTGTGCCATCTGTGCCAACTGTAAATGGCAAATCTGAAAGTAGTGACAGTGGAGCAGAATCAGAGGAAGAACCACATGAGGAAGAAATAATAGAATTACAGCAAATTGGAAAAGGTATAAATTTCTGAATTAAATCTGTTTTTCATAGCTATTTTTGGCATCTTTTCAGTCTTGCTCAAGCAATTTCCATTCCCTCCCCCATCATTTCTTAATTTCTTATTAAAGTTGAAAAGGGATGAAAATACAGTATGTCAGAGCATAGCAAACACATTAAAGACCTGTTATGGGTCCTTGAAAAAGAGCATTAGGATATAAGAAACTGACAGCTTTAAAGAGAAGAGGAAAAGAGATGGGAAAGTAGACAATCTTAGGCTATTACTAAGAATGGACTGACTCAGCTTTGCTGCACTTTAATTTGCAGCCTATTTTATGCTTCTATTTGGATTAATCATACAGAGACTATGGATTGTTTTGGTGCCAATGTCACCCTGGCCTCTCAATCCGATGAGGTTTGGTGCATATGACAGCTCACATCCTTCCTTCCTTCCTTTCATTCCATCCTCTATTGATTCCTGGTTCTCCTTTTATGATGGTTCCTTGTAAAGCCAGTGGGTGGTTTAAAGTCTTGCACAGTGTTAGGGGAAAGGGGAAGTTTTCCAAGGTTCTCTCTCTTTAAAAAAACAAAAACAAAACACACACACACACAGAGAAAATACAAAACTAATACATAAATACTGTAACTTAATACATACATAATTACACAAAGTTTATTTAAACAATATTAAATAGCAGTAACTACGTTTGCTTGATACATGTTGATGGAATCAGTGTTGAACATACCTATTAGCAAATCAAACATACAATTGAAAATGAGTTTTATTTTTTCATGCCAGTCTGTTTGAACTTTCGCTCTTAAGGTTTAACAGAAGATGAGAGTGTGAAACAAGGCTCAGAGAAGGAGCTGGACAGTGTTATTACCAATGGCTGTTGTGATGATGTACCGGATGCCAACATTCACAGCGAACTACTGACCAAATCTGCTCTGAATGGTATGAATGTGGACGAAGAACCAAAGAAAAGAGATAGACACCTAGACCTACCTGTTGTATCTAATTTTGAGCCTCCTCATCAAGGTACTACCCTGACTATTTAAATATGCCTACATGGTTGTTAGTGGAGTAGTGATGGTGGGGAGAGGATATGCATTTTCCTTTGGGGGGGTTTGATCCTACATTATGTGTATATATTCAATTTTACATCCTAGGGTTAATGTGCTCACTGGGTCTTCAGAGTGAGAACCACCCTGTGCACATGAAATAATGTCCTATGGCGCATTTGGATTTTTCTCTCGCATAAAATGGATGGTGGCAGGTTAATGCAAACAGAATATCTGCACAGTGGGCATCCATGTGCAGAATTTAACCTTTAATATAACCTGCTGGTGATGGCGTTCTAGCATAGTAGGATTTTCTTCCCTTCTGCTCCCATCTCCAGTGCATCCTTCTGCACTGTCCCAAAACAAAGCTCCAGTGGATTTCATTGTCCTCCTGGTCTGAAGGGCACACAATGGGGCAGCAGAAAGGAAGGATGAATCGCCTCTCCTAATTCTGTTGGAAATCCCCACCACCACCATTCTAGTATAAGAAATCCATCATTTGACCCTAAACCAGGCTGTGCATGTGGGTGAGCAGAAGGAGGAGGTGAGTCAATGCAATGTACTCTTTGCATCTGATGAGGTCTGACAGTGATTATTAGGATGCAATGTGAAATTAGGAAGGGGGACTTATAGCTGACTACTTGTTTTTTAAAAAAACTGCATTATGTGGACAGCATGCTTTTGTTAGAATCTTATTCTACAGGAAGTTATCACGTACACTTCCATTGATTGCTTAACCATTTAATAATGTTCAGAAATTATCTACTCTGAACACATTACTTAGAATACTGTATTACTCCACTAACTACAACTGAGGTAAATATCTTCCTGATCTCTTAGGTACATTGGACAGCTCTATGCATTTAATAAATTTTAAACACATATAGTGTGCATCCAGTCACAATATTTAAACTGATCTCCTAAATAGTAGTACAGAAACGTACTAATACTAACGGCTATTTAACATTTGGGAGACAAAGATGTGAAATCTTTTTTAGCTGAGAGGGCAAACAAGAGAGAGAGAGGAATGTTCCACATATTTTAAAAAATAAACTGAGATACATATGTTCAGTATTTTTACTTTCCTCAAACTCTTTTTGAAGAATGGTCAGCACAGTTAGTCTTAACAGCTATACTTTTGCGTTAGCAACATCATTTTGTAATGCATTTCTGTATGTTATTGATTGGGTCCAGAGTAAAGCATATGCCTTTCATTTGGAAGTAAACTTTCTATCGTCAGTCCTTCTGTCCATAGAAGGGAGGTGTTTAGTCTTTTATTGGCTTTTATGTAATTATGATAAATTCAATTTCAAATCATAATGAGTACACAGCAATACAGTTCTGTTATCAGTGCCCAATGCTAACAATGAGAAACAACTTGAGAAACATTTTTAATAAACCTGCTGGATCAAAAATGTTGCTTTCACAGCCTGATCCTATACCCTATTAAATACTGCTCAATATTTTCGTTTTGATTCTCTGCTTTCTTCTTGCCAAAATTAGCCTACTTATGCCTACTGTTTGGCCATTTACCTATAGGTTCAGATCGGAATGAAAATGCGACTGAGGATGTCTCTGGAATTCTACTGTTGACAAGTGACTCCGATAGTGAAATATACTGTGATTCCATGGAGCAGTTTGGCCAAGAAGAGGTGGAGTTTGATAAAGATCTGTACTGAACAGGGGAAAAAGTAATCCATACTATGTGTAGCCTGGATAATTAAATTGTAAACCACCCAGAGAATGCTTTAAGCACTATGGGGGAAGTATATAAACAGCACACTTTGCTTGCTAGCCACAGTCTAAATCAGAGGTAGATCTCGGAGGGACATGCTCTCATCCACCTTGGGTCCTTTTTAAGGAGAAAGGTGGGGTAGAAATACTGTACTTTAAATAAATAAATGCAATCCCTCCCTTTTTTTAAAATTACCCAAGAAGAAGCCCCATCATGCCGTGTGTGTGGATTGGAGGAGAAATTGCTGTGGTCCTTTCCTATAACTTTGACCTGTTTTAGGCCAAGAGGTCTCCTGGTTCTGCTCATGGACAACTCAAGATTACTAGCAGTATTTAAAACCAACCATAGATTTCCCTTTAAAATGTAGTGCAATAAAAACAGAGATAGGTGCCGTAGATGAGAATGGAATCTCTGGATAAAGCAATTATCTAGTAATTTTAAAAAAACACAGCCTATTGTAACAGTGTAACAGTATATGGTAAGGCACCATATGAGGGGACAGATGAAGGACTACCTCACAAGGAGTTCCGCCATTAGGAGTGGGTATAGAGAAGGCATTTTCTGCCGTCTCCATCAGGGTGGATATTCCACCATTGCTTCACATGTATAATTGTTTTTGAAATATCTTTTCCAAGCAGACCAAAACATGTTTATTAGAGATGGGAGTTTCACATTCTTTGGACTGCAGCCAAAGAAGACATTTTCAGAGGAGCTTTCTTTACCTATACATGGACCTCCATACCTTTATTGGCCTTTTAAGAAAAAAGAAACTGCCCTGGTGGTGGCAGGGAGTGGTAAGGCTCCATAAGAGTTGCAAGGGTTCATGGAACAGGTAGTCTCACTGCCCATTAGGCTCTATAGAGGAAGCCTCTCAACTGGAAAGTTCTTTGTCTCAACATTTGATACCTACTTCTCTTATCTTGTAGATGCTGGAAGTCAGTACATCAACAAAGGAATTTTCAAAACGTCCATTTCCTTTCTCAGAAACAAATCATAGTAGCTTGTTAGAAATGTCTGGGTTTCTGGATCTTGGAAACTGCATGTCAGAAGGTACAAAAGAGGCTGCGATTGAGGACAAGGGTGAAGTCAAGTGCGGTGGTGAAGATGGCAAGGCAAGTGAGGGAGGTCCTCATAAAGAAAAGAAGAGTGGCGAAAAGGTGGACTTCTATGGAATCAGAAGAGGGCGAGGTACTGTTGGATAGCTTGTTTGGCTGTACCTTGTGATGATAAAACATTCTGACATTTTTTGTAACCAGTGGGCTCTCAACTCTTTGTATTGTAACCCGTCATAGTTATATATATTTCATAAACGCTATTTCTAAGAGTGCTTTCTCTTCTCTTCTCAATTTAGGACACAGAATGCACCCTTTGGGTGATGGAGCCCAAGGTGGACAGATAGGTAGTGGAGGAGATGGAGAGCGATGGGGTTCAGACAGAGGACCAAGGAGCAGCCTCAATGAACAAATTGCAATAGTGCTCATAAGATTACAAGAAGATATGCAAAATGTCATTCAGAGACTGCATGCCCTTGAGACACTGACAGCTTCACAGGTAAAATTCCACAGGCCATGCATGGCTCATTAGTAGAGCACATAGTGTTTTACATGTAAAACTCCCAGGATTAGTCTCCAGTGTCTGCATGTGAGATTGGGAATGACCCTGGTAAGAAATTCTGGAGCACTGCCACCAATTTACAGTCAGTGTAGTTGTTGTGGACCAAGGGCCTGACTTCGTACAAGGCAGCTTTCGTATACAGCAGTACCTCAGTTTACAAAATTAATGCATCCTCCGGGACGTTACGTAATGCGGAAATTTTATAAACCAATCATAAACCAAGAGATGTGCAGATGTGCAGACAAGACAAGCTGTCTTGTCCCAAGTGCCATAGTGCCTAGGGAATTTTGGGATCTGTAGTCCAAAAGCACAAATCTCCATGCCTCTGATAAAGCACTGCAGAAGGTCCTTTCTGTGTCACAGAAGAACTCATTTCAAGTGGATAGAGATGATTTTTTGAAACAGTGTGTCAGCATGCTTAATAACTAATTCAAGCTACTCTACTAAATCACATATTCATTGAAATAACTTCAGTATTGGGGAAGAGTCATGTGTGAATGTTCTTTAAGTATCTTAGTCTGAGGAAATCATGGAAGAATATTCCTGGGAATAGCATTACGTATTTGTTACACAGAGAAAGTACAAGATGGAGATCAAGAAATAGAAGGCAGCAAAAGAGCTTCTGAGCTAAATTTTTACATGCAGTATAAATTCTTATATATGCAGATAAAATATACATCCACAGTGTCTAAACTCTACAGTAGGAGCATAACATAAAGCTATAGATATAAATTTGAAACCTTGTTATTTGCTGTTTGGTTAAACTTGGCTTGTTTTTGTAGGCAAGAAATGCAGCTTTGAATTCAAGTAGTCAGCCTGTCTCACCTGCTAAGGTAGGTTTTTTTAAATTGTAAATCAAGAATTAAGATTTTTATAGTGGTGTTTAAATGTTGGATTTGTTGGACTGGAGCTTTTCATAATATGCTATGAAAATCTCTATAAAGCAGCATGTTAAATGCCACTTGGATTTTTATACGAGGGAAATGTGCCACCCTTAAATATTTCTGAACATTCACAAGTTCATGATGGAAAGGAACTTTCAAGTGGTGGATCAGCCAGAGAATATAATATATGCCATTATAAATTAGTCCTATGTTACAACTTTGTATAAAGATGACCTTGCTAAGAAGTCCAAGATGTGACAGTGAAACAGAGAGAAAAATATTTTTCAGTGTGGCTCACCTGGGGCTACAATAATGTCTACTACTTAGTTCCTAATGCAAAATCCTTAATAAACCATTACAGTATTTATGCAAGCACCTATCATTAAAGGAATTCTCTGATTTTTATTTGGTTTTCAGAGACCATCCTGGTGGCCCTTTGACATTTCTCCTGGTGCTTTAGCCTTTGCTGTTTTCTGGCCCTTCGTTGCTCAGTGGTTGGTGCATGTATATCTTCAAAGGAGGAGAAGGTAAGACTTGTTGCATATAAATACAAACATTTGCCTTTGAGACTGTTAGAGAAAAAAATTGAAATGACTTGCACGATGTTCACCTTATCCAACCACTGCTTTACAAATAGTCTTGAAATTGTTCTATGGATTTAATCAAAACTGCTGCTTGATTTTAAATTCAGGGCCAATAGCTCTGTAGGTATAGAAGGAATGATGTCACCTGATTGTCAGTTCCAGGTTGGATACAACCTTATTTCCTTGCAAGCAAATTGTGTGAAACCCAGAAATAAATCAGAAACTCTTTCATGTGGCAAATTGTTTCTCGTTGTGACATCACTTATGCTATCATCACAAAACAATGGACTATAATACTGACTGTTATCTTCATTATTGTGATCATAACTCATTGATGTGAAATATTCACAATATTCACATTGTTCCTTCAGCTTCATTGATTCTCCTTGTAACTGTTCCCATCACAGAAAGATGTACAGTATGAACCAAGAACAGTGCCAGATAGGTGAACATCAAGATCTTCCAATCTCTCCAAATGTTTTTCCAGGAAGTGCTTGAGGGCCCCATGTCAATGTCAGAGCACCCATATTTCTTTTTGTCAGTGACATGTGGCAGTTAAAGAGCACATTGGCAAGACTGGAGAAACTGTGAAGACAAAGCTGTGCCTATCATGGATGTTTCTGTAAGATCTGGAAAGAGTTAGCATTGCTCTTTTTAAAAAAATTAACAAAGTTTGCTGGTTTTTACCCTGCAGATGAAGCAAAGCTCCTTGACTGCTTCATTTGCACAATAGTTTCACACGAAAATACACATGGGCTTCTTGTACACATGCATTTTAAAATAAAACCGGTAATTGATAACTTCTGTTTTAAGTAATTTTTTTTGAGAGATCTGCATTTCAGTTGATGTAGTTCAGATATATTTGTAACAAACATGATCTGCAGAGTTTATTGGAGAGAAGCTTTTCAGCTGTAGCTGGAAGGTCAATTAAAACTGTAGGGTCCCTATTTCTGAGTATGTGAAATTTAATATGAATTTCTTAACTTGTTTCCTTTTTTAAAAAAAACATTCATTCAGAATGTTCAGAACTGGGTCTTGAAGATGAAATAGACTGTCAGTGACTTGCCTTGCAGGAGGTATTCATGTAATTCTACTTTACACAGGTAGATGAGGTGGAGAAAGGCTGGAGCCTCAAGAGTGTGACGGGGAAAAATAACTAATGTCACAATGCTTGCAGAAGTCAATAGCATGAGACTCTGCAACCCTTTTATGCCATTTTCGACAGTATAATGAGATTCATCAATGCACAAGATTTTCAAGAGTTCACAGAGATCTCTTTACATTCTGGAAAGAGGATCTATATGGGCATGCCTTGATGTGCTACTATGCCAACTAAACTAGACTTAATATGCCAGTCTACTGTATAGAGGTGCAGTTACTAGTTTTCATTCATTGTTCTAAAGTTGTTTTGTTGTATTACACATTTACTTGTTTTAAAAAAGGACAATGCCTGAAATCCAGTAGCAAGCCACAATAGGCGCATTGTATCAATGGAACTTAAAGAGTAAACTCACAAAATCCCTGATGATTCAATGGTCCTACTCTAATTGCAAGTTACTACTGGATTTCAGTCAGTATTATATCATGGACTGACAAATGGGAAAATTAGTCCTGATACCAGGGATGAGAATGTTATTCTGTGTCTGAAGCTATGCAAAAACTGCTGTTTGAAGAGTACAACTTCGTTTGGTAGGAGGGCTCACACTTGTCATATTATTCCAGAATAAATTAGTGATCTAAACTGGTAATATATGAGTTTTTCTTCTTCTTTCAGAAAACAGAACTGAGAAGTCAATTTCGAATTTTACTTAAAGACTGTTAATATGAGGACACTCCAGAGGATAGTTTTGGAAATCTACAAGAATCACAGACTCTGGGATGGCTCAATCTTCCTTGTTTTTCCTTTTGCACTACCTGAGATAACACACTTGAACAGTCCCTTTCTCTTTGGTTACAAGTAGAATAAACACAACTGTCCTATTGAGCAATCACATGGACCTTTAACTGTTTTGGAATGTACATTCTTGATAAAAGACTTGCAAAGTTGAAGGTTCTTATTGCAGCTCTTACTGAGAGAGGTTCATTCTAGCTTTCAGAAGAAAAATCTCCCTTAGTGTAGAATCTTGCAAAAAAAAACCCACAACCCCATAACAACCTTGTAAATTGTTACTTTAATATGACTTATTTTATATTTTTGCTGAGGTCTTTCCCCTTGGCAAAAGACAGTGGAAATAGTAACTCTAACATAATCAGAGTTTGCCAGATACATAACACCATTGCTGAAAGGTTTAACATATACCTGCTGCTACATAGTGGAGCAAATTGTTAGTAAATAAAGTACTATCAAATGTTTGAGACTACAGATTGTACTTGCATAAGTACCATCTCCACTGTATCTTTTTAAAACTTGCTAGATGAGTTGGAATGTGGCAGGATAACCCAGTTAACCCAGTGCACAGGCTACAATGCTGGGAGAGAATGACCGTATGTTCTTAGCTATCTAGTAATCCAACCATCAGTGGAATCTAAGTTCTTATTCCATTGATTTCAGTATGACTTACGTAGGTACAGTATATCTGGATTACATCAAGAGGTAGTCATGTACTTAAGTTTAGTGAAATCATTTTATGAAAATATCTTAAATTTTATCTGAATTCTGTACCATACATACAGTACTCAAAATGCATGCTAAAAATTAGCTACACATTGCTGTCTTAGTATGTGTGTGGAAACAGTCATAATTTGGCAAGGGTCATAGGGAAGGGCCACTCCAGAGAAAGCCTGCACCCAGTACCTAAAAAGGTACAAGCAGAGTTCTTTCACTTGACCTACCTTTGTGGCTTACAGCGCATAGACAAGTAGTGTCTATGGACAGGATATTAATAAGCATTTAATTCTTTCTAAAGCTGTGAACCTCTAACTGGGCTGTACTGATCTAAGATAGCAGGTGTTGGCTCACAAGATTGAATACTCCTACTCAAAATTCCCCGCTGAGGAAAGCCAAGTGTTAATTGAGCAGATTAGGCATGAACTTTTCCTTCTGACACATAAATTTTTTTGGTATAAGCTGTCAAGTATTGGGACCTCCTGGCTGAACAGTCCAGAGGCATAAGGCTACTGAGGTGAGGGGAACTGCAGACTCGTTTAAGGCCAGGTCAACTCTTTATTGCTCATGTTAACTCCTCATCAGCATTCTCAGCCTGGATACCTGTGAGACAGCAGTTGGTGCACCAGCTTTTTATTTACACTGGGCTGGGACCAATTCATTGTTTTAAAAAATCTTTGGTATAAAACAGTAAAGAGTACAGAGCTCATCCTTAATCTGCGGCCTTTCCTCCTCCCTGGACCCCCTACAATGGCAATTTCCTTTATTCTGTAATTGATTGAAGACAATTTTAGCACAGTCACTTTACTGAATTTTTAATTGTTTTTATTGAGAATATTCATCTTTGAATAGAACTGCCTGTTAATTCCAGCATCTCTCAAAATATAACTGGAAAGAGGAAAAAGAAATAATGAAGGCTAATGTTTCTTCATGTGATCACTTCTTTGTTGCTACGATGAAAATAAAAATGGCAAACCTTGGAAATAACGTTGTAAAACATAAGCCGTGTACCCTGCATGAATCTACTACAGTCAGTTAGCCAATTTTGGACTAAGTAATAGAGTATGACATGTTTCTCACTATGAAGTCTTCAGACGGCTACATCAAGAAGCTCATGACCTTGAACTTTGAAAAGCACCTTCACCTGTTATATGCTATAAATAATGTAATTACAGGAGTAAAGTTTCTGCCTTGCTTAACAGAACATGATTTCAAAGTTTAGTTTTACAAGGTAACTCATTTTAATCTATTGTAAATACATTTATCAAATAAAAGGTGTATATTGCCTCCAAATACTTAAAGCCATTGATTGCATGAGTGTATGCAGTAGCAGAGGCCAGTTCAGTGACTTAAGGAATATGTCTAGTTTCTTAACTGCTTAGATGTAAATAAGTAGAACAAGTATACTGTTGGTTGAGGGCCTATTGCTTTGTCATGGAGAACTGTTGTTGTTGTTTAGTCGTTGTGTCTGACTCTTCATGATCCCATGGACCAGAGCACGCCAGGCCCTTCTGTCTTCCACTGCCTCCTGGAATTGGGTCAAATTCATGTTGGTAGCTTCAATGACACCGTCTAACCATCTCGTTCTCTATTTTCCCCTTCTCTTGCCTTCACATTTTCCCAACATCAGGGTCTTTTCCAGGGAGTCTTCTCTTCTCATAAGATGGCCAAAGTATTGGATACTCAGCACCTGGAGCCCAGGAAAGTAAAATCTGCCACTGCCTCCATATCTTCCCCTTCTATTTGACAGGAGGTGATGGGACCAGTGGCTGAGATCTTAGTTTTTTTTATGTTGAGCTTCAGACCATTTTTTGCGCTCTCCTCTTTCACCCTCACTAAGAGGTTCTTTAATTCCTCCTCACTTTCTGCCGTCAGAGCGGTATTATCTGCATATCTGAGGTTGTGATATTTCTTCCGGCAATCTTAATTCTGGTTTGGGATTCATCCAGTCCAGCCTTTTGCATGACGCAATCTGCATATAATTTAAATAAGCAGGGAGACAATATACAGCCTTGTCATACTCCTTTCCCAATTTTGAACCAATCAGTTGGTCCATATCCAGTTCTGACTGTTGCTTCCTGTCCCACATATAGATTTCTCAGGAGATAGATAAGGTGATCTGGTACTCTCATTTCTTTAAGGACTTGCCATAGTTTGCTGTGGTCCACACAGAAAGGCTTTTGCATAGTCAATGAAGCAGTAGATGTTTCTTTTTCGTGGCCTCTTTGAATGCACACAAATGGGTCTTGTCTGTGCCTGCGCTGATGTTCTCAGAAGATTCTAGAGCTAAAAGTAACAATTTTATGGTGTGATTCCCCCATGAGACACATACTCCTCCCACCCACCCCTCCTCTCAGTTCCTTTTTTCCATCGAGATGTATGGTTCTCTAGAAAGACAGAGCTAGCCTTTAACTCTTTTGAGACTATTTCCTCTCTTATCAATCTTATTCTTTAATTATGTAATCAATTGATCCCCTTCATTTCGCTGTGTTTTTTCGCTTTCCCGCCTTTTGATTCCCCCCCTCCGGTTGGCACTTATGGCCTCTCCAGCACCTTTCAATGTTTTTCTGGAACTCTCTGGCTTTGTCCATAATCCAGTGCATGTTAGCAATTTGGTCTCTAGTTCCTCTGCCCCTTCGAAATTCAGCTTGTACTTCTGGGAGTTCTTTGTCCACATACTGCTGAAGCCTGCCTTGGAGGATTTTCAGCATAACCTTGCTAGCATGTGAAATGAATGCAATTGTACGGTAGTTGGAGCATTCTTTAGCACTGCCCTTCTTTGGGATTGGGATGTAGACTGATCTTTTCCAGTCCTCTGGCCACTGTTGAGTTTTCCAAACTTGCTGGCATATTGAATGTAGCACCTTAACAGTGTTATGTTTTAAGATTTTAAAGAATTCCACTGGAATGCCATCACATCTCCACTGGTCTTGTTGTTAGCCATACTTTCTAAGGCCCACTTCACTCTCCAGGATGTCTGGCTCAAGGTCAGCAACCACACTATCTGGGTTGTCCGGGACATCCAGATCTTTCTGGTCTAATTCCTCTGTGTATTCTAGCCACCTCTTCTTGATGTCTTCTGCTTCTATGAGGTCCCTCCCATTTTTGTCCTTTATCATGTCCCCCTTTGTACAAAATGTTCCTTTAATTGCTCCAATTTTCTTAAACAAATCTCTGGTTTTTCCCTTTCTATTATTTTCCTCTATACTGTATCTTTGCACTGTTCATTTAAGAAGGCCCTCTTGTCTCTCCTTGTTATTTTTTGGAAGTCTGCATTCCATTTTCTGTAAGTTTCCCTATCTCACTTGCATTTTGTTTCCCTTCTCTATTTGTAAGGCCGCATTGGACAGCCACTTTGCTTTCTTGCATTTCCTTTTCTTTGAGATGGTTTTTGTTGCTGCCTCCTGTAGAATGTTACAAGCCTCCATCCATAGTTCTTCCGGTACTCTGTCCACCAAATCAAGTTCCTTAAATCTGTTCTTCACTTCCACTGTGTAGTCACAAGGGATTTGGTTTAGATTATACCTGGCTAGCCCAGTGGTTGTTCCTACTCTCTTCAGTTTAAGCTTGAATTTTGCTGTAAGCAGCTGATGATCAGAGACACAGCTCCAGGTCTTATTTTTGCTGACTGTATAGAGCTTCTCCGGCTTTGGCTGCAGGGAACATAATCAATCTGATTTTGGTATTGCCCATCTAGTGATTTGCATGTGTAGAGTCGCCTCTTTTGTTAGAAAAGAGTATTTGTGATGGCCACCTTGTTCTCTTGACAAAATTTTATTAGTCTTTGCCCTGCTTTGTTTTGAACTCCAAGGCCAAACTTCCCTGTTGTTCCTTTTATCTCTTGACGCCCTCCTCCCATTCCAGTCCCCTATAATGACAAGAACATTTTTCTATGATGTCAGTTCTAGAAGGTGTTGTAAGTCTTCATAGAACTGGTCAATTTCAGACTCTTCAGCATCAGTGGCTGGTGTATAAACGTGGATTACTATGATGTTGAAACGTCCGCCTTGGAGAACTGTTACCTGTTTTTTTATAGGACCTTCCTAGGAAGGCAAGCTGCTTAATGTTCTCTGGTTGCCATCTTCTCCAAATAAGGTAGGTTTTAAAGTAAGTTGGCAGGGGAGAAGATTTGGAGTCATTTAATTCTTGCTTTTACTGAAGCAAGAGACTAAGAAAAATGTGGACACAAATGGTCCCTGCAATACATCATGAGGTGACTTGAAATTCCACTTTTTAACTGGTCTGACCTGTTCTCTGAGCCATTATTGGTGCTGATTTTGAACAGACAATCAAACTGGAGTCCCAAGTTAGTAAACTCTTAAAAGCCATTTGCTTCACAAGTTGCTATTTACCGTTCTGTTTTCCTAGGATGATGTTCAGCATAGTGTTTTTAAAACCAACAAGTCTTATATACATTACAGATCATCAGCACTCAAGCTGATGATATCCTGTAATTCATTTGGTCCCAACCGTTTTGACACCGGGGACCAGTTTAGTGCAAGATCATCCTCCCAAGGACTGTGGTGGTTGCGGTGGTGTGTGTCTGTCCATGCAGGGGGGCATGTGTGCATGTGGAAGGTTGGCAGGCATCGGTGTGTGCATGCGTATGCATTCCTTTGGCCCTCGAAAAACTGTCTCAGCAGCCTGGTCCTTCCAAGACCACAGACCGAGAGCAGTCTGCGGACCGGGGGTTGAGGACCCCTGCTGTAATTGTTTATTTTTCATTAACAGGATCTATGAATAACGCCTCTAGGCAGAATAATGCTGAATTCTGCCTAGAGGCACAGAAGTGGTGCTAAATGAGTGAGGCAGTCCACACCATGATTGTTAGATGGGCCACTGTTAGTTGTTTCGTTTTCAATGTGACAAATGATGGACTGAAGAGTGGACTAGAAATGACAAGTCTTACCCACGGAAATCACCTAACAATATGGTCAGCAAAGACAGTAACATTTCAGTTGTACAAGCAATTAAGTCCAACCAAGGCACTGATAACAAAGGCTGTCTCAAGCAAGGCTTACTCCAGCTTTTTTGTTTCATTTGTTGAACGGGCCTTAACTCAGTTGTCATCACAATAACCAAAGCAGAAATCTAACAGCATGTTTGCTAAAAGTACTATTAGTAGCATAAAACCCTGTCTAAGGGTGGATAAAGATAGGCTATCTTGCCATCTGAACTGCGGATGTGATGCACTGCACAATTAAGAATGATAATGCAACTATTTTTGGTAAGCAATAATACTGATTTTCTGTATATCTTTGTGATCAGTTTTTGAGAGCAGAAAAATAAAAAGGTGCTCATTTTTATTTAAACATGTTCCAGTAACAACAAAAGAAGCAAGGTCCTAAAAGAAATGACTCATTTGTTGTAATCATCTGAAACACCTAATTCAAGGAAAGCTACAAATCTCACATTTGTACTGGCTTTTAATCTAAATTTTAAAATATATAATCAGTTTTAATTCAGAATTTATTGAAGCTTCACTTTGATGTTTTTTGTATTGGATTGTAAATCTATATGGACCTCAATATACACTTCATGATCTCATTTTGCTCAGAGTGTTTTAAGTAACTGGCTTGTAGAAACAACCAGCTTTTGGTATTTAAAACTTGATAAGTTGCATCTGTAAAGCAAGATATAACAGTTAAAAGCTACTGGGGTTTTTTGATAGTTTTTACATCTAAGATAGCTACATTAGACACTGACAATATATTTGGAGACAATTAAGGGCAATGATCAGTTAGCAGCAGAACCTAAAATAATCCAAAGTCTGTAAATAGTCTGAATTGCCTGACAATTTCTGTCTCCCATAATGCCTGGCACCTGGAGGGACAGGAACATTTGGCCTGCACAGAAATTTATTCTCAAGTGCAGCTTCAAAGTGGTCTCAACACTAGTTTCAAATAGATGCCTCCCATCATATGCAATCCCTAAGGTGACTAGTATTTCAAAATATAGCTGCATAAATATACAACACATTTCATCTCCCAGTTATGCTTCACAAATAGAGCTCACCCCCCCCAAACACTGGAAATATCCCATAGCAGCAGAAAAATACATTTTGTTCAGTGTGAAAGTGTCATACCACTGTTACGTTATACATGGCAAGATTTACATAAGGTGCAGTAGTAATTAGAATAAAAATACGATGAGAAGCTGTTTAGAATTAAACAGTTCACTACAGCTTGTAAGAACAAAAATATAGAGAGCTAAAAATCAAACCAGGTTTTAAAAACACGATGGTTAGAAAATCAGGATAAACCAGTGTTAGGAAGTGCAAGGATCTGGAAAAATTCCATTTTCTCTGATACTATAAGCTGAAACCAGACACTGTTAGATGCTGAGCATTATTCCTAGCGTCGAAATAAGAAGTATCAGTTTCATCATTTGGCTGAGGTATGAAGGGCATGGTTTGATTATGCAGATTATTCCAGTCTACGCCATGAAAGAGGGGGTGACGTTTCAACTCTAAAATGAAAAAGCAATCAAACATTAGGATCCACAAAGAAGTCAATTCCTTTGAAACCAATTCAGTATGAAAGCCTCACATTCTTCAAGCTCTTCCCCTTCTGGTTCTGAATGTATTCTTTTGAATTAAGACCCTGAACTAGTCCATCTTCTATGATCATAGTTTAAAAGAAACGTGAGTGTTAAAAGCTTTGCCTACTCTGCTTTAGATTTGCATTAGGGCAGCAGTTCCCAGCTCTAAGTAACCCAGGACTGCTATTCCCAGAAGCCTTCACCACCAGCTGTGCTGGCCAGGGTTTCTGGGAGTTACAGTCCAAGAACACCTGGGTTGCTGATGGTTGGGAATCACTGCATTAGGGCGTTTAAAAAAAAAAAAACACTGCAGCAACTCTTGCCCAACACTTGTTTCTGGGAGATGCGGATGGCAGCTTTTTGATTCCCAAGATCTACATGTCAGTCTTCTCCATTTCCACATACTGTGAAACTGTCCTCAAGGAATGCAAGAACTGGGCAATCCGGGAGTGGGAAATCCACAACAGACAAAACAAGTAAAAGCCTGTGTGTTGTACAACAATAGAACTTTTGATTCTCTAGGTATTTTCAACTTCCAGCTCTCAGAAACTCGTCACCATATATTTCTGTATCGGCCCACATCCTGTTGCTTAGCACAGTAAATCACAATAGAGTAGGTCTACTGAATCAATGGGAATTTGGTGAGTCAACTCCTTCATAAGTTCCACCTGTTCCAATGGACCTACTCTAACTGCCACTTATGTTAGTATATTAAATAAGAGCAGCATTCTTCCTTTGATTTTTTTTCTTCTATAATTTCTCTTCCATTGACCCCACTGGGAGGAAAGTGTGTACACCAGCTATAAGAGGAGAACACATCTCCGACACCCACCTCAATTCTAGGGTGGTGCTGGAAGAAAAGGAAGGTTGCAAATCCAAGCCTTCACCTCCTCTTCCTCTCCAATACAATCTCAGACTGCTCCTTGTGTGTCTCCTCGTGTCAGAGCTACAATGTGAGAGTCAAGGCTAAAAGGGGAGACCTCTCATTATGTGATTTGATCTCTTACTCCTCCCCTGGAAAAGGAGATCCACAGCATCCTATATGACCAAAGTGACAATTCCCTGGGGACCACTGGATTGCAGCTTCGAACTATTACCGTATTTTTCGCTCCATAAGACGCACCTTTCCATAAGACGCACCAATTTTTTAGGAGAAGAAATCAGGAAAATATAATCTGTTTTCTTCGCTCAAAGGAGATCCACAGCATCCTATATGACCAAAGTGACATTTCCCTGGGGACCACTGGATTGCAGCTTCAAACTATTATTTGTGCTACAGGCTTGTGAATTGCTTAGTGAAGCTCAAAACTGCGGAAAGTGCGTCTTATGGTGCGAAAAATACGGTATTTGTACTGCAGGCTTGTGAATTGCTTTGTGAAGCTCAAAATTGTAAGGTTGTAAGGTTGACTATAACATACTAACCCTTGAGCCCAGCTCGCTTGGTACTATCAATGGTCAAAAGAATATCGATGGCACTCTGAGCATTGTCCGACAGCTTCTCTTCACCTTCAGGATAAGGAATATCTGGGGAGGGGGGGAAGCAACACTTTGATATTTAAGATAAATAAAAACAGGCTTTGAACTCAGTGGGGGGGGGGGGAAGCAACACTTTGATAATTATGCTAAATAAAAACAGGCTTTGAACTCACTTTTGACAAAACAGATAGTTACCCCTTTTCAGAATATTCTGGAACACTTGCTGTGGTGTTTCATCATTGAATGGTGGAATTCCAGTTAAAAACTCGAACAAGCAAACGCCAAGTGCCCACCAGTCTACCGCATGACCTGAGGTAAGGACAGTACATTTACATTAATAGAGGCTCCACAAGAAGGTTGGCAACTGTGTGTCAAGGAATGAAGCAAGCCTGAGATTTGTAGTAACTAATCACCTCTTGTTTACAAAGTAGAAATTGCCTAAACACTTTTTCTTCAAATGTTAAACTTTCCTTAAATGTTCCATGACTCAAAGCAGTGTGATGCTTTTCATTTCTTAGCACACAGGGACTTCCAAAGACCAACTGTGTGAGAAAAACCAGAACATTCTGTTACATTTCCTTTACTTTTGAAAAGTGTTACTGGCAAGAATCTCAAATGCAGTAACAAATTGTACAACATTACTTTCTTAGTTCCATAACTGTGGAGACTTCTGTGTTTTCAACTTCTCTGCATCGGCTACAAAACTAGAGTCTAATGAGAAGCTTACACTCAACTGCAAGTTCTCCGTTTAAATTTAATCAAGACAATGTCTACTTCTTCCTCTTAGTTGTGTTTTAGTTAGAAAGTTCGGTATATTGGTAGAATAAGTGTAGCAAAGCACAAGCAGGCAAGACTGCTGAGACACCACAACCCATTAATAAGCAGCATGCACTTTACAGCTGCTGAACTGCTCAAGCTTCAGCCAGCGCATTGTGTCAGGAGCTGTGGGACACTGTGTTGAGGGCCTATTTGGCTTTGCAGATGGAATTACACATTCAGATAATGTTCCCTACCCATGTAAAGAGGGCTCAGCATTGCAAAGTATTAACATCTGTATAATACAGTGATGAACTGAGCAATCACAGAATTCAGCCCATAGTCATTTCTGTAACTGCAGAAGTTGTTGCCAGATAGCAAGGAATCGTTTGTCTCACATGCTACTCATGAATACTCAATTGAGGATGGCCAGGACCACCCACATGATCAACAAGGTAATATCTGAAACTAGACTATTTCATTTAGATGATTTTGCCTAAAAATAAATGTTTAGATGTCTCCTGAAAGCCTACTCATATTAATCTGCATCTTTATTTTGAAACCTACAGTGAAGCAAATAGCATTTCATTTATTCAGATTAGATCATGCTCTGCATTTTCATATGGTTGAAGTTGTAGAATAGATGTGATCAAATTATCCCAGCTAAGCTTGCAAATTTTAGCTGCAAGATATAGGTGTTATATGGCCAACACTTCCCCAATGTTTCCTTTGAGAGTTTGTTCTGTAGAGTGCTATATGCAAACTTACCAGTGATCAGAACTCCTGTGTGTGAAAAACAAATCATGTAAGCATAGTAGTATTTCTACATTTAAAAAGGATCATACTGCATCTAATTACTAAATTATGCTAACAACGAACAAGTATTCTATCACACAAATGGTAGTTTTCCAAGTATAGCTCTCCAAATTTCCTTTCTTTAAAGACTGCTAATTAGAGATGAGGGTTTTCGTAGACAAATACAAATATCTCCCCGTAGGTGGAAAGAACGAGGGTCTGGCCTCCATTCGACATTTGGCTGCTGCCGTGGGCACAGCGGTGTCTTCCTATCGCACTGTGCTCTGCAATGGATTAGCCACTCCTGCCTAGAGGCGGGATGTCAAGTCTCGCTGCCAGGTCACACAGTGGCTAATCCACTGCGGAGCACAGCATATGAAGACGCCACTGTGCCTGCAGCAGCGTCCGAACAGTGAGTGGACGGTCTGGCTCCATGCGGCCAGACCCCCGTTATTAACACCTGTGGGGAGATATTTGTATTTGTATACAAATAACCCCATCTCTACCATTAACCTATTTCTAAAAACACATAACTTGCATCTTACTGAAAAATATTTTGCTATAGTAAATACACAAAAATATAACTGTGATATTTTCAAACAACAGCCACAACTTCCTACACAATATGCAGCCCACCTTCAGATCTCTCCTTCCTCCTGCAAACCCCCCCCCATTGTAGTCCCTCAATGAATTTAAGAATTTTGAATGTCTATGAAACAGCGGAATAATAACAAATTGGCTAGCATCCTACTGCCTCGTTATGAACACCCAAACCCACAACCAGCACTTCATTAATGAGTGCCAATTAGCCACCAAAACGTCTGCAACTTCTCTTACACAAGCATAAATTGGCCTATATACCATTCTAACCGTTAAGATAAACACCCAGCAAGTGCTCTCGGTATAAACAGATCCAGGATCTTCTTGAAAGACTGAGGAAATTCATATGATACACAAAATTACACTGCAATAAATTGAATTGCTTACCATGAGCTTTACATAAAAGCAGCTCAGGTGCTAGGTAGTCTGGAGTTCCTAAAATACGTTCTTCTACTGGGGCTGTCCCTCTTCGGACACTCTTTGGGGTTCTGTATGGTGTATCAGCATTTCCCTGAGGAGTCTGATGTCAAGAACATGTGTCAGGAGCAAGTATCACACAAGCTGGTCAAATTATTCTTTGGTTGTAGGTTGGAACAATGCATTGCAGAGCTGAAAACAGTTCCAAACCAATGGTTCTCAACCTTTGGCCACGCAGATATTTTGGACTTCGACTCCCAGAAGCTCCAACCAGTTTGGCTAATGTGGAGGGATTCTGGTAGTTGAAGTTCAAAACATCTGTGAACCAAAGGTTGAGAAACACCAGTCTAGTCAACTGCAGCAATGAAGTTCCCTCTGGATTTAACATCCTGCACACGCACACGTTACAATTTTCATTTATACCCACTTTCTGATGAGAGGAAGGCTTTGCTTGTCATTTATATTAAAATCTCTACATATTCCATCAATTGAACAACTTGCTATACCTTGAATATTGCATGAAAGACAATATTTTGTCTTGGATAGCCACTATTTGTACTTAAGATAATTATTTAATGACACCCAAGAAAGGAGCCTGACAAAAGCAAGGAGGTCTTGAGTCCAGAACCTGAGAGTCTGTTATCCCTCTCTTTTTCCCCCCCAAACAAAAATAATTATGGACAACTACAAGGTGCCTTCCCTTTTATAGAAATCTACAATAATGCACATGAACAGCAAACATATGTTTATTTCACTGAACTGTGACTACTGTCAATTGTCAATGAATTCCTACAGTATACACATGCAGCAAACTGGATGTATATATCTGCACTAATGCACATGAGATAAATGCTAATTCTGTACTTTTCACGTATCCATTCCCTGCATTCCTCTCCCAACCAACACCAACAACTGTGTGCCATCAAATCAATTCTGACTTATGGTGACCCTTTCCAGGATTTTCCCTACTGTGTACTCAGAAGTAGTTTACCACTTTCTTCTGGGGCACCCTGGGACTGTGCAGTTTGCCCATGATCACACAAGGCTAGCTCTTTTCCCAGGAGGCACAGTGGAGAATTGGACTCCCAACCTCTGATTCCGCAGTCAGATACATAAGCTATCCATCCAGCATATACACAACCTAGCATGTGTATAAATATATGCCAACCAAAGCAACATTCCATGCATCTGATGAAGTGGGTTGCAATCCACAGAGGCTTATGCCAAATAAAGCCTACTGAAGTCAGTATAAACATAAAGAATCTTGTTGCATTCCACAAATTGTTTAGGTTCACAAGGTGTAGAGAAATAATTGTCATTTGTAACCTCTTCCTAAACTGCTGTTTATTGTACAGATTCAGATTATTATTAGCCTACTAACATTAGAAGAAACACACACACATGCACACAAGATAGTGTACTTGTGGGGATATACTTGTGGTCTAGTAGACCAGATAGGCGGGGCATAAATAAATAAATAAATAAACAAATAAATAAATAAATGCAAATTTCTGTATGGAGGCAATGCTCATGCAAGAGATTTTTTTCTGTAGCAAGCGGCTCCAGGAATTATGCTATTGGTGCCTTTTTCATACCAACCTGATATGGTCTGTAGGGTGTCCCCTTTTGCGCAGGTGTAACAGTCATTGGATAAGAGCCACTACAAGCAGAGACATCCATCCCTTCCACAGACATCATACTAATTCTTGACGGCTCAGACATATTAGACACGTTAATTTGACTGTTATAACTCCGAAAAGCAACAACATTTTTCTTGAGGTGGTTCAGTGCTCTCCGCATCTCCACTGATGAAGAAGAGTGAATGTCAACAGGTGTTTCAGTTACACTTCTCAAACTCACGTCCTGATCATGAGGCAGTGGCTTGCCTTGCTGGACTGTAGGTGCCTCCTGACCTCCTCGCCAGACCTCTGGGCAACCAGGTGACACTGACACAGCATCCACTTTTAGTTCCTCAAAGGTGACATCCTTCATGCTCCCATCTAAGTCAGAGAACTGTTTTTCTAAATGACTCTCCACAGCAGACACTTCTGGAAGGGACAGATCCGAATCCACGCTCATGCTTGCTAAAGGTTTCTCATCATCAAGGCATAAAAAACTCGAATTTGTCAGTTCCTTCTTCCCGTCCTTTTCACAATCTGCATCCAGATAATCCAGAAGATTCTTGGCTATCAAGGGCGTTGCTTGTTTGCTACCCCTGTTTCGTTCATTGCAAGTGCAGCCTTTTGCTTGCTGTTTGTTCATACAGGTGTCTTGCTCAGATCCATCAAGGTTTAGGCAACAGATTTCAGTGGTTAAGCCAGTGCTTTTTTTATCTGGAATCTCAATGATTTGACACCCACGTTTGTATTCTGCATTGTTTTTCTTAACAAGGATACGGTCTTCAGAAGGACTGGTGTCAATTAAGCCAAAGCATCTTTTGACACCCAACTTCTCCACCTCTTTCCTTTCTTCCCTAAGGTTGTCCAATCCTGAAGAGATGAGGTGGCAATTAGCAGAATTTGATGCCTCCTTAGCTAGAGCAGCTTTTTCAGTAGAGAGTTTTTCTTCCCATTCTTTATATTCTGAAAGACACTTTCGGACCAGATCTTTCACATCACAAGTCCTTACAGAGGTTTCAGATAGGTTACATGGTTCAGTCCTTCCATCAAGTCTGGTCCCGGAATCGTTGCTGCTAATAGGAGAGATGGCAGATTCCAGTGCCTTTCGTTTAAGGCTTTTAGTGCCGCTAGCAAGCAGGAGATCTGTATTCTCAGGCTTCTCTGATGCATCCATTTTGCCCGGAGCAGAGCACAGCACGCCTTCCGCTTCCTGAAAATCAAGTATGTCTAAGAGTTTATGAAAATGCTGAATAAATTCATAAGTGTCATATATTTATTACATTATTCACATCCCATCTTCAGTCCAAGCACTATCCACACATAAAATCACAAAAAATAATTTTTAGGGTTTAAAACAAAATTTTGATTTGGGAAGCCAATAAGCTTACAGCTAGAGTAAAAAAAAAAGAAATTAGCAATATATCATGCTTTGGAGATACAATATCAAAGCAAATGTATAACAATATGAATATGCAGAAATAAGATTTCAAAGATAGTTGTGATACTCTTGGGGGCAGGGAACCATCCATGACTGAAGCTCTAGAGACCACATCAGCTCATTTGAATTATACTGCAAGTGATTGGAAGGTCACTTCTAATCAGGGAAAAAATCAAACTTCGGGCTTTTTTAAAAGAACATTCTTCTCCCACAAATCTTATAATTCCGACCCATTTCAAAGCCTTGGGAATGTTCTATGCTCCTATTCTATGTACTTGAATCATTTCCTAACAAGAGAGAGGAAACAAAGTCATCAGAAAAGAAAGAAGCAGTGCTGACCTGCAGGTCCTTCTCCCACTGGGGGCTGCTGCAACATTCCGATTCCACGCTAGACAACTGCGTACGGGAATGGCTACTGGCACTGGAGGTTCCGAACCTTTTCCTGGACTGAAGCAAAGTCGGCGTCAGACTCCTCACGGGCATTCCAGGCGTGACAGCTGACGAATCAAAGCCTTCAGCAAAACAGATGTTTTAAAAAAAGTCAAGATTATCCATCCATCCAAAAGCAGACATTCATACAGCTGACGAATCAAAGCCTTCAGCAAAATAGATGTTTTAAAAAAGTCAGGATTATCCATCCATCCAAAAGCACAGGCATTCATTTCGAAGCAAATCTGGTGAACTGCCCTATGCAAAATAAGGAAAATTAGATTCAATATTTGGGAAGCTTACTTTTTTTGGACTATGACTCCCCAAATGCCCAAGCCAACATGGCCAGATGCCTCAGAAAAAGTTTTTCTATGGCCGGTGTGATATAATCAGTTTGTTCTTCCATACAACTAAATACTTTTTCCTCATTTCATAGCGCTTATTATTTTTACTACAATATACGACTAGGATACAATAAATTATAAAGCAATTCTGCACAAGACAAGAAAACAAAACAAGTTAAAAGTCTGCTCTAAGGTATTAGATATACTGTTGAACCACTGAAAGGAGGAAGAATCATAATAAAACGTATCCTCTCTTTTCTCTCCTATAAACTGCTTCTTAAACTGTACTGTCTAAAATTGGGCATCTGTGCTACTGGAAAAATCTGCTTTTAAAAAACTCTGCAACTGAATAAAACAAAAGCAACAGCAAAACACATGTATGTGTATATGCTTGTGTACACCTCACACATTAAAATGCACCGAAAAAAGCAACAAGTTTTATTGCACACTTCTGATATGCTGTTCTCCACTAATCTGATCTCAAACCTGATTTTCTCCTGCTTAAGATCAACATTTGCCACCATCTTGGGTTGATGCCAAAACCCTTGTTCTAGACAAAATACAACTTTCTCAGTACATAAAACTCATGATTTGGCCTTCACAAGCCCTACCAGGGCAGCTCACAACACAGATAGATATACAGTGGTGCCTCGCATAGCGAGGTTAATCCGTTCCGGATTAACCCTCGCTATGGGAAACATCGCTGTGCGGAAATAAAAAAGCCATAGAAACGCATTGAACTTTGTTCAATGCGTTCCTATGGCTTGAAAACTCACCGTTGTGCGAAGTTCTTCCATAGCGCCGCCATTTTTGCACCCTTGGTAAGCGAGGGCAGGGCGCAAAAATGAGGCGGGGACCTTCCGGCGGCCATTTTGGAACCACCGATCAGCTGTTCTCCCCCGCTTCGTTATGCGATATTCGCTAAGCGAATCGCTTAGCGAATATTGCAATGCGAAAAACCTCCATAGGGGCCATCGCTGAGCGAATGCTCCAGCGATGGCCCAGAGCCCCTCGTTAAGCGATTTAATCGCTCTACGGGGCGCTCATTATGCAAGGCACCACTGTATATGATAATGAAACATCCCATTCACAATTAAACAATAGAATAAAAGCAACATCCATCTAATCAATGTTTTTTAAAAGAAGAAAGCATTGGAATGAGAGCCAGGTGGACTGCCAATAAGCTGTGTCGTGGATTATCTTCTCCAAATTGAAGACCCCCCTTCCCAAGTAACCACTTGGCAAAGCTCTCCTGGCAAAGCATTCTCAAGAAGAGCGACTATTGCTAGATGAGTAGCTTTGCATTGAGGTAGGCAGTCCTCATGCTTCTCACACTTGTTGAAAGAATCTTCCAGAACATCACCTCTTTCGCATCTGTCCTCATGCATGCCCAATAGGGGCATTCTGGAAGTGAGAATGTAGCTATTCCTTTCTCTCTCTCACTGTCCTTTTGCTCCTTCTAAAGACTTAAAAGATTCAACACTTTCTGGCTCCTCTTCCAATCCTTTCTAACCCACAAGTTGTTAATATTGCTTTCTTGAAAGTGGTCTAAATTCCTCCTTCTCTGGACCTTGTGCTCAGCCCTTGAGACATTGTTTTCTATGAAACTTGGGGTAAGATAAACTATACAGTGGTGCCTCGGCTTTATGATTGCCCCGCACTAACGACAAATCCACTTTACGACGATCTTTTTGCAATCGCAATTGCCATCACAAAACGATCGTCTAAATGGGGGAATTTCGCTTTGTGATGATCGGTTCCCTGCTTCAGGAACCGATTCTTCGCAAAACGATGTTTTAGAAAACAGCTGATCGGCGGTTTCAAAATGGCCACCGTGTAAGTAAAATGGCTCCCCGCTGTGTTTAGGGATGGATTCCTCGCTATACAGGCAGCGAAAATGGCTGCCATATGGCGGATCTTCGCTGGATGGTAGGTTTTAAGCCCATTGGAACACATTGAAAGGTTTTCAATGAATTTCAATGGGCTTTTTATTTTTGCTTTACGATGTTTTTGCTTAACGGTGATTTTTCTGCAACGGATTATCACCGTTAAGCAAGGCACCACTGTAAAATGTCTTCTGAAATAAACTCAGTAAATTTTGTTTAAGATGAACCTTTTGTCTGGTTCATTGCTTCGGAAAATAAAACAAAGTGAGTTTAAAAACGGGCAGGAACTGTTTAATCTAGCAAAGAGTTCTAACAGAGCTTCTCATAGACTGAACAGTTTGAATCAAAATTTACAATAATACTTACATGCTCTCAGGAGCTTATTTGATGCAGAAGGATATTCTTTGTGATTTACAGACAGAGGGGAAACAAATCCTTGAGAGCTGTTGGCACAAACCGGACTTGGGCTAGGTGCGTGCACTTTCCCTGCAGCTGGAGCGCACTGTGAAAAATAAGAGGAGCCTTTTTAGTAGAGAGAAATATATATATGGACCCAAAGATATTAGAGCAAGAATTTATTACGTCAGATCCCATACTTGACACAACTGCCGATTTTTACAGCAAAAGATTCATAGAATAGATTTTACAGTAAAGGAAGGAACAAAATGGTAGCAATGCTGTCCTCTCAAAAAACATGACATTGTTTTAAAAAGCCAAAACAGCTGTGCTGAAATAATCTGACTCCAAATTACAAATCAAATTGTCCTAACTGGTATGAGGCCCAGACTGAAGCAGAAAGGCTAGATTTGGTTCCAAGGTGAACCAAAGGAAATTTACAAATTGATTCTGATTCAGGGCACAAATCATACTGGAGGGGTACATCATCATCATCATCATCATCATCATCATCATCATCATCATCATCATCATCATCATCATGTACTGTCAAGTCAATTCTGACTTATGGCAACGTTTTTCAGGGTTTCCCAAGTACAGAATACTCAGAAGTGGTTTACCATTC